GTTTGGGAAAATCAAGTCTTTCTTTAGCATAGTGTAAAAGGAATGTTTTGTGATACCAACAAACACTCGTTGCCACTATTGTTATGCCAACAAATACTTGTTGTCATTTTTGTAATGCTTGTTGTAGTAGAGACTTTGTAATTGCAGGTACAACTATAGCATGCCATTGAACAATAGCACTCGCACTAATAGTACTTGCTCAATAATACTTGCTGCGAAAAGTAACCACCATATCAATTAGTTATGTGCCATGCATGATACATGCTTAGGCGATCATGTATCTTTTCATACAAGGCAGATTTTTTCTCGCAGTAGGTTGTCATTTCTTTCTGCAGTAGACCAGTTGCCATCAAAGGCTATAGAACCTGGTCTGTCCTGCTATTTACTCATAGAAGAAGAAGACCTTTCCCAAGGATATTAGCATGTAAATGAATTTAATGGATTCAACTGGAATTTTAACTCGGCTCTCTGATTCCTCAAACCACCATATAGTGATCTGAATAGAGAAATAGTATAGTGAATAGAGTAAAGAATAGTGGTCCATATAGTAATAGAGGATAGAGTAGAAATGGTGAGCCAAATAGTAAGAGAGGATAGACTAGGGATGGTGATCAATTAGACATCATGCTATCTTCTATATATGCATTTCCTCTATAGTCACGGGGTCTACGTAATTCAGTAATGGGATCACCCATGTTTGCTTACTGGTGATCTATGTTCAAACTCAAGTGTCGGCAGTGACACTTTATTCCTATATAATAGAATGTGTCATGTGTACTTCTGTGCGTGCTTGCTGTGAGCCATTTTGATCTTTTCTTATATAGGCTGCAGGTAGGCTTCAAACAAAAGCCAAAATATCATTCTTTTTTGTTGTGTTTATATTGATGACATCTATGCGGTGGTGGTGGTGTTGGTGGTGCTGGTGGTGGTGCTAAGACTGGTTTTAAATGTCTGTTTTTTTGCAGTTATAGAGGGAATTTGAAAATTTATTTTTATTTATTTATTTTTGTGTATTTTCAAAGTCCCAACAACTTTCTAGCTTCACCATTCTAGGTGTAGAGTTGCTAGCACCATACCCAACTAGATTTAAATTCATAATTTGCTTTCTCCTAAACTGGTTGCAACCATGGCTAAAGAACCCAATCTACTCAGTTATTTAACCCACAGCTGTGGGATAAGAAAGATGGATTCATAAATTTCCCAAAAATGTGAAAGCGAATGCAGTGGCCTCAGCTAAAATTTGAACACAGCATGCCAGTCTTGCTTTCTGCACTGAAAATAACTGCACCATATGCATATATACCAAATAACTGCACCATATGCATATACACCAAATAACTGCACCATATGCATATACACCAAATTTTGTATTCAGGTAAAAATTCCATATTTTCCTTTTCATTCTTATTTTCTATTACAGTGTCCATTTTCCCTGCAATTATACTTTTCATTTAAGAAACAGAAGCTAAAACTTAATTTGAAACTTGGAAAATGAGTTATGATTTTAGATTGGTTAATAAACTTACTGAAAATAATCAAATTTAAAATATATAGGTTGTAAAACTTAGAGTTCTCATGGTTGGGAATCATCCATGTAGAAGCAGTAATTAAGTTGAAAGCCTTAATGTCCTCTTCTTTTTGTTCCCTTTGAAAATGTTCCTATTTTGGTATTATTTAAGGATAGAAAGACAAGAGAATAAGCAGGCAAGTCATGCAAAGAATGAAGAATCAATATACATCAATTCAGCAAATTTGGTTCAACAAAAAAGAATTTAAAAAAAATAAACTGACAGTGTATTAAAAGACATACAAGTTTACCAATGCTGAATTATCTACAAAAGTCTTGCATTGATAAAGTCATAAATTTTTCTTCTTCTATGTGCCATGTCCCTTCAACATGGTTCTCCTGTCTTTGCTAAATCTTAATATATTTTGTCTTTTTTTCATCTCTCCTAAACCTTGCACTGTCATCTATTTACTCAAGCTCTCTATGTAGGTTATGCATTGTTTTCACCTGTCCTTCTTGTCTTAAATCTGGGAAGCCAAGTTTCAATTCCTGTTAAGTTTGTTATATTCAATTACAAACAGAAAAAAGTTATGAATCCACCTATTTCCCCCCAGCTATGGGTAAGTCGGACTTGTATCACTAAACCATTCGGTGAGTCAGTTATGAGCCATGCATGATACACTCTTAAGTGATCATGTATCTTTCAATACATGACTGACGAGGCAGATTTTTTCCCACAGTATGTTGCCATTTCTTTCTGCAATAGACTAGTTGCCATCCAAGGCTATAGAACCCAGTCTGTCCTGCTATTTGCCCATAGCTGGGAGGAGAAGAAGAGGATTCATACCTTTTCCAAGGGTATTAGCACATAAGTGAATGTAATTATGTGCTAATACCCTTGGAAAAGGTATGAATCCTCTTCTTCTCCTCCCAGATGAATTTGTAATTTCTCCACATGAGAAATCAATTAAAAAACAATGTATGTATTTGGTTTGTTTTGTTTTATGGCATATCAACCTCAATGGGTTATTTAACGCCAATGAGATTTTTATTGCTGGTAATATTTTTGTTTTTTCAAAAATGTATTGCTGGTAATATTTTCTTTTTCAATGATGTATTGCTGGTAATATTTTCTTTCAAAAATGTGTTGCTGATAATAACATATTGCTTATAATTTTTTCCTTCAAAAATTCATTGTTGGTAATTTTTTTGTTTTTTTGCAAAAATGTACTGCTGGTACTAAAACCTATTTTTACACTTTCATAGTATTTTGACCCCAGTTTGGAGTTAATTATTTGCCCATAGCTGGGACCCTAACAGGTGCTACCACCCCAGGTCAGGGTGGACCTGGGAACACCAGCAATTAAGAGGAGGTTCAACACTCCTCAAAATCTCCTGATCAGAGGCCCTGTTGTCAGGTAAAGTTTGTCGTTTTACCTAGGACACGGATGTAGTTTATCATCATACCCAGGACAGGTATGTATTTGATAAAATAAGTAAGTTTTATCATAAGACATACTTTATTATTAGTACCTCAGTTTTATTGCATACTAATTTGCTTGTGTAGTTTTTTCAATACTATCCAAATGCACATTCTACAGAGATAAGTGAAGTTATAAGAAAAGTACTCTTTAACTCTTCAATTTATGTTGGGTTCTATTCTTTAATTCCTGTTCAACGTTATTCTCCTAATGTCTCTGCTGTACTCTAAATTTTATCTGTTTCCTATTTATTTATTTTTTCTCATCATTATTGTCTGATTCACACTCTTCCCTGGTCTTTTGAACAGGAGTAGAGGTTTATCCCTTGTTCCCTGTTTAGGAGTGCGTTTTCTGTTCCTTCTAAAGTCTACATCAACTCTATACTTCTAACATCTCGCCTTAAACTACGACTTATTTTTTTTTTTTTGCTAATTGTTTATTTATTTTCTTCTCAATAGGAGTAGATAGGTTCACCTACAATCTGTTTCACACTCCTCCCCGGACTTTTGAACAGGAATAGAGATTTATCTCTTGATTTCTATTTAGGATTCGGTTTCCAGTTCCTTTTAAAGTCTCTTCTTTCACTTTCATTCCTATTAACCCTTTGTGTCTTAATGGCATTATCACCTTGCTTGGGGTGAATTGATTAAAAAAAATAACATTTTCAGCAAGACATCTATTTTCTAAAGTTCTTTTTGTCATTTGTCCACTTGAATTTCCTATTATGGACATAGCTACATTGAGCTGACCATGAGAGGAACATTTAAATGATTTTCTAATATTTATATTATTAATAATAATGAAAATTAATTAATTCTGCAAACTTAATATTTTTTCCTTTTTTATTTTAATTATTTCACCCCAAGCAAGGTAATAAAGCCACTAGGATGCAAGGAATTACTTAGTATTAAAGCATATGAGTAAAACTACAATTAAGGAGAGAACAATAAAAGAACAAGAATTAAGAAGACAAGATAACAATTGACATTGCATTCAAATTTTTGAAGATCAAAGTTACCTGGAAAGCAAGAAGATGGACGTGTTGCACAAATGAGATATGTGATAGAAGAAACTGTTAGTATAGTTTAAATAATTTGGTACAAAGTTAATAAAATCTAATTAAACATTATTTTGACTTACTTAAAGAATTCCACTTTTTTCTTTAACCACTGTTTGACTAATTTGTAGTAATGTGAAATATCAGATTATGACAATACTTATTATGAACACTAGGTTTTCTAACTGATGACTTAATTTTAACAAGGCAGATATAAATTCCTTTTAAGCAAAAACAATTTACTAAAAAATATCGATATAAACAATGCTTATATATGTCACTTTTTAAAAATTGAATTAAAAATGAATAATGCAGATAAAGTATTTATTAAAATATGCTTTTAAAAATTATTATGTAAATTAAATGATACTGCTTATGTTGCAAATTCTATTTGTTAGTAATATATATATATATATATATATATAAAAGTTTGCATGTTAGCAGAATGGACTGGGCTTTTTTTTTTCTTTTTTTTTCTTAGGACCATATCGCATCGAAACACCAGTTCTCGTATGATCACTAAAGTTAAGCAATGTTCAGCCTGGTCAATACCTTGAGTGCTGTAAGATTTTGATGTTCAGGTGGTGTAATGTATAATGGCTTGGAATTGTTAATTGGAGAGCCAAGTTCCAATTCCAGTTGGGTTTGTTATATTCACTTAAACACAATATGTATTAACAAAATAGGATTAAAACCAGAATATAATTAGCTTTAGATTTTCAATCAAAATAAATCATAAATGTCAAAGACACTTTTCAGATGTTGTGTAAGAGATGAAACTGGAATGTTTGTATCAAACTAATATGAGCAAAGAGTGTTGACAAATTAATGGCTTGACCAACAAGATCCCTTTAAAAAAATTGAGAGATTTGAATGCATTTTTGGAAGTGAATCTAGTCAAGAACTTTTTAGTGTCCCTTTGTATGATTATATGGTAAGATTCCATCATGGTTGATTATGGGGGATAACAGATAGATAGATAGATAGATAGATAGATAGATAGATAGATAGATAGATAGATGTAAGTAAACAGGCCAAGATAAACAATGAACAGGCATAGATAGATGGTAAAATATAAACATAGATGAACTGATTGAGATAGATAGATAGATAGATAGATAGATAGATAGATAGATATTAATCGGATACAGTAAATAGGAGCAGAATGTGTAGACAGGAATGAACTTGAGATATATTCATAGATAATGAATAGGAATAAATAAATGGCTTGATATAAACCTAGATATAAACAAACCCAAATAAATGAATAGATAATAAATAAGAATGCATAGATGCGTAGATATAAACATAGATAAGAACTGGTATAGAAAGATAACAAACAGTAATAGATAGATGGTGAAATATAATAGAGATTTATATATATATATATATATATATATATATATATATATATACACACACAAGTATAGGATTGGTGTATATGGAATAAATTCGAATAACCAACAAATACTATTCTTAAAAGAGTGCTCAATACAGAGTAGAGCAAATATAATTATTTATTCAAAAATTATAGCATAAACATGTTATAAAATCACTACAAAAATAGCCATTTTGTTTCAACACTTCTGGTGTCTTATTAAGTGATGGTGTTGAATGTAGAACATTGTACATTCAACACCATCACTTAATAAGACACCAAAAGTGTTGAAACAAAATGCCTATTTTTGTAGTGATTTTATAACGTTATTTCGAATAAATAATTATACATATATATATATGGATGTATGTATGTATGTATGTAAGAGAGATAGAAAGAGTGATTATCTATTAGAGATGAATAGACCGAAATATGTACCAAGATAGATGATTACTTTCACAAAGATGCTTATGATAGTTCTTGTAGTGCTTGCAGTGGTCCTGGTTATCAAGATTGGAAAATATCTGGATATTGTAAACAGGAAAAGTAATTTTAAGGGATGGGGGATAATAAAGAAAATTGATGTGGCAACAGAAATAAAAGACATGAAAGATGCAAGCATTCAGTTGAAAATATTTTTCAGGAAGCTTTTAATCTTAAAAGCAATTTCGAAGATATTTTGGTGTTTTGTTGTGTATTTAGAGCAATTTATAATCATTTGGATTCATTGATCACCACAACAGTCATCATTCCCAAGAGAAAAAGAAATAAACAAGCTTTTTTACAGATTTCTATAACTTTCTGTACTTTCATTAAATAACCACATACAGTTATGAATATTAATGAATACCTGTATGTTATTTTTAAGGGTGTGGGTCGTTTTTTAAATAATTTAATTCTCTGTGAGTTTTCTTCATTATCATGTTGTAAAGATTTTTATTTATTACTTTTTTTGATGAGGAATATTGTAATATATTCAGCAATGTGGCTTGATCAAAGAGGGTCATGGCTGTTGTGATCAAAGTACATATCATTCACTAACATGATATGATTAAAAGAAAACAGAATATGTCACCAGATGCTTATCAATATTTGGCCAGGGAATACATTAGATAAATATGAACAAACCATATAGCAATCATGGAACAATTGGCAAAAAATGTCTTTATCATGTTCTGTGAATAAGCTAACTTGAGATCAATAGTGAAATATTCCAAATAATGTCCATGTAAAACCAGAAAACTTGCATGTACACACACACACACACACACACGGCTATATATGGTAAAAATAAGGTTTTAAGGTATGCTATATTTATGGGTAAAAGTGCTCAATAAAAAAGGATAGCATGTCTGTAAATATAAAATTGGACACTGAGGTCAAGACTCAGTCTGTTTCATGCTCGACCACAATCTTCATGGCCTGAAGATTGAGTCCCCACTTGGTGTTGACCTATGTGTCAATTTTACATGTGCACATGCATATATATATATATATATATATATATATATATATATATATATATATATATATATATATATATTAATAAATATACGTTTTTTTCCTTACTGGTAACTTAACTCAGAGTTTCATGCACAACAAAATCTTTAGGTGCTGAGTTAAAACTGACTGTTTTCAAACAACAATCCCCCATATGAAATATGGACTGCCTCATCATTACATTAACCAGATATATGTAATAAAATTTACATGATGTACCAGTTAGTCTTAACTCAGCACCTGAAGATTTTGTTGTGTATGAAACTCTGAGGCATACTATCAGTGAGAAAAAAAATGTATATTTATTAATATATACCTTATAGCTCTGTTATATTGCATTGAGCACTATTTTATTAACACCTGCACTCACTGTGTGATATTATATATATATATATATATATATATATATATATATATATATATATATATATATATAAAAGAGTGTATTAATAAGTTCAAAACTTGACACATAAGTATTAACTAAATTTTGAATCTATATCATTTGTATTAAACAATGAATTAAGAGTTTTGACAATGAGATTATGCTGAAAATAATTCTTGCTTGAATCCTTTTTTTCATCATTAAGATATATATATATATATATATATATATATATATATATATATATATGTAAAATTTCCCAAAAACTACCTCATGTGATCATGTTTAAACCCGGGTCACATTTTTATGTATTAAACAATGAATTAAGAGCTTTGACAATGAGATTATGTTGAAAAATAATTCTTGCTTGAATCCTTTTTTCATCATTAAGCTATATATATATATATATATATATATATATATATATATATATATATATATATATGTAAAATTTCCCAAAAACTACCTCATGTGATCATGTTGAAACCCGGGTCACATTTTTATGTATTAAACAATGAATTAAGAGCTTTGACAATGAGATTATGTTGAAAAATAATTCTTGCTTGAATCCTTTTTTTCATCATTAATATATATATATATATATATATATATATATATATATATATATATATATGTAAAATTTCCCAAAAAAAACTACCTCATGTGATCATGTTGAAACCCGGGTCACATTTTTATGTATTAAACAATGAATTAAGAGCTTTGACAATGAGATTATGTTGAAAAATAATTCTTGCTTGAATCCTTTTTTCATCATTAATTATATATATATATATATATATATATATATATATATATATGTAAAATTTCCCAAAAACTACCTCATGTGATCATGTTGAAACCCGGGTCACATTTTTTATGTATTAAACAATGAATTAAGAGCTTTGACAATGAGACTATGTTGAAAAAATAATTCTTGCTTGAATCCTTTTTTTCATCATTAAGCTATATATATATATATATATATATATATATATATATATATATATATATATATATATATAAAATTTCCCAAAAACTACCTCATGTGATCATGTTGAAACCCGGGGTCACATTTTTTATGTATTAAACAATGAATTAAGAGCTTTGACAATGAGATTATGTTGAAAAATAATTCTTGCTTGAATCCTTTTTTCATCATTAAGCTATATATATATATATATATATATATATGTAAAATTTCCCAAAAACTACCTCATGTGATCATGTTGAAACCGGGTCACATTTTTATGTATTAAACAATGAATTAAGAGCTTTGACAATGAGATTATGTTGAAAAATAATTCTTGCTTGAATCCTTTTTTCATCATCATTATATATATATATATATATATATATATATATATATATATATATATATATATGTAAAATTCCCAAAAACTACCTCATGTGATCATGTTGAAACCTGGGTCACATTTTTTATGTATTAAACAATGAATTAAGAGCTTTGATAATGAGATTATGTTGAAAAATAATTCTTGCTTGAATCCTTTTTTCATCATATATATATATATATATATATATATATATATATATATATATATATATATATATAAAAAAAAAAACTACCTCATGTGATCATGTTGAAACCCAGGTCACATTTTTATGTATGAATTAAGAGCTTTGATAATGAGATTATGTTGAAAAATAATTCTTGCTTGAATCCTTTTTTTCATCATTAAGCTATATATATATATATATATATTTATATATGTAAAATTTCCTAAAAAACTACCTCATGTGATCATGTTGAAACCCGGGTCACATTTTTTATGTATGAATTAAGAGCTTTGATAATGAGATTATGTTGAAAAATAATTCTTGCTTGAATCCTTTTTTTTTCATCATTAAGCTATATATATATATATATATATATATATATATATATATATATATATATATATATATATATGTAAAATTTCCCAAAAACTACCTCATGTGATCATGTTGAAACCCGAGTCACATTTATGGTGAATTTTTCAATCTTATCTATTATATTATCTGCTCTGCACATTCAATTTTATAGATTCGTGTTTTAAGCATTTTCTTAAAATATCCATCCTCTAATCTGAGTTGGGATGTCCAAATAATTATATAGTCTCATTTACATATATATATATATATATATATATATATATATATATATATATATAATTGATTTATTTTTTATTTATACAAATTTGTTTGAAAACAAGTGAAAGATTCTAGTTTAAGGTGTTTTTTATAACTATATCTCTACTAGGTTATTCTTGAAACTTAGATTAGTAGCTGTCTCTCATGTTTGCCAAACCCCTTCACTCTTTCAATTTTTCATGCTATCTGCTTTGACGAGCTATTTTCACTGGTGCCCCAACTGCATGAATTTAAGCATGCCATTAAGTTGGCATCTCAGTTCCATCCTTTTACTATTGAAACAATTAAATGTAACCACCTATTCTATTCCAACAGCTTCTTCTCTTGCACTTCCCAACAGTGGAACTCCCTTCCTCTTACTTGCTTCCCTGATAACTATAATCTTCAAAAATATAAATGTGATGTCACCTGACATCTTCTGTTGCCTTGTTTCCCATCCTTCTTTTTATCCTCCTCTGCTCATTTTTTATCCTCCCCTCCCCATACACAGTCTTTTCTCTTGCACTCTCTGTAGCCCCTATTGGACTAGTGGAACTCCCGCTCTGCTTGCGGTGAAATACTTTTAAAAAAAAATTTTTTTAAACTACATTACTACAATTTTAGCTACATTGAAAAAACTTCACTTGCATTTTTCTTCAAGCTTTTTATACTCTGGCTCAATTACCGAAGATTGAAAACTGAGATGGGTTTGATGGCAGACATCAATTAGCATATATCTGTGTTTCTTCTGTTTGTGTATATCTTACTGAGAAAGATATAAAATATAAATTATTCAGTCCTGCCCATAGTAGTAGGTGCACTTGGAACAGAGACTAAAAGATTGAAATTGATCTTGAATGAACTGGAAATCCAAGGAAAAGTTGTGATTGTCCAGATTGCAGTATTTCTTGAATCGCAAGGATCCTGAAAAAGGTGCTGGAGATTTAAAGAGATTTGCTGTTACTTGATCTTCAATGATGAAAACTAGATATCTGGTGGAAATATACAAATGCATATTATTATTATTATTATCATTTCCATAGTATACTAATTTCTTGCCAGGTCCCAACCAAAGACCTAAGGCCAGAAATGGTGTCATAACATTTTACACTGCACATTTATGTAAAAAAAAAACAACCCACAAATACATATACAGTGTAACCCGAATATAAGAGGGTTGTCAGGACCGGAGAAGAAGTCTCTTATATCCGGGTTTCTCTTATATCCGGGTTTGGTCTATTTTATATACATTAACACAGGCTCTAATTTGGGACCAAAGAAAATCTCTCTTATATCTAGGTTTCTCTTATATCCGGGTTTGGTCTATTTTATATACATTAACACAGGCTCTAATTTGGGACCAAAGAAAATCTCTTATATCCGGGTTTCACTGTATATATATATATATATATATATATATATATATATATATACACATACATACAGTGTAACCCGAATATAAGAGGGTTGTCAGGACCGGAGAAGAAGTCTCTTATATCCGGGTTTCTCTTA